GTGAGTGAGTGAGTGAGTGAGTGAGTGAGTGAGTGAGTGAGTGAGTGAGTGAGTGAGTGAGTGAGTGAGTGAGTGAGTGAGTGAAATGAAATGAATGAATGATAGCGAGATGGACCCCTCTGCAATAAAAAGCTGTTTATGGATTTTTGGTCGCTATCATAATTGCCAATTACATTTGTGATAACAAAATACTCACATCAATCGACTGTAGCTTGTTTGTTGGTATGTGCTCCCTAACAAAGTGATGCTTTTCAATCAAAGCCACAATAATATTATCATCGTCACTGTTCTTCACATCTTCAATTCCATTCAGGTAATCCAAAAGTTTCTGTAAGTCTTTCTCCTCCATTTTTTCAGTCTCAAACCTTTCTTTCACTGAGGCCATGCCTTTCACTATGTACTTAAAAATAGCAGCAGTACCTGGAGAAAAAAGATGTATTACATAGTACCATATTTGCTCTATTAGTAGCACTTGAGTTTTTGTAAATTACAAAGGTGTTTATATGGTCAAAATGGATATTATTTTAATGATTCAATATACTATATTTGCTCTAATAATAGCATATTCACTTTTATAATTTACAGAGATGGTCTATGAATGGTTTCTTTGGTTTACTGGTATATGTGCTTCTATTAGAGCAAATATGACATTAAAAATGGCAGCAGTACCTAGGTGAGAAAAAACAAATGCATTACATAGTTCTGAAAAAAAAATTGCTGTGGCCCTAGAACATAAACGTGCATAACACACGCAGATAATACTATAGTAGCTCAGTCCTTTGTAAAAATCAATTTGATCTGCTTTCAGAATGTTGATGCCTATTTAACATAAAAATGAATGCCATTCAACCATCTTCAATTGAATGACAAACAAATACATGTGCATAGATGCTAGACATGATGTTTCTGTGAAGTGATAAGCCAAGATATTACAGAGAAGTCTCTGGAACAGCATTCATTGAAACAAAATGGCCACCAATCTTAATTTTGAATCTTAATCTTAAAGTTTTAGCACTAAAAGGCAGCTATTCGACCATTTTGAAACAAATTACAAAATGAATACACGCACAGATGTATCCCTGATGTACGATAAATATGTACAAATTTTAAATAATCAGTTCAGGCATGTGCGAACAGGTGCAGACAGACTACTGTAAAATGCTTTATTTTCACTTAGAATTTATGTTCGCTAATTTCGCTGAAGGAATGATTCAGTGAAAATAAAATCCAGCAAATATACATTTTTTCCTATATTTTACATTCAACTCATCAGAAATCAGTGAAAATAAATTCCACACAAAACACCCTGAAAAATCTTTTCAGCAATGGAAAATTAATTCCAGCTAAAATAAAGTATTTTACAAACCTGATGCACAGAGGTAAAATTATGAGTATTGATTTCAGACTTAATTTTGAGCCATTTTTTGCATACTGTAACATGACTAATTTTCACTGGGTTTAAATTTTCGCTGATTTACCATTTTAGGCATATTCAGTGGTTTTAAATTCACGGTTTTATCATTTAGATAATGTGTTCTATGCTAAAAATTACATACTAGTATTCACTAGGTTTTAATTTAGCGCATTTTCCAGTCAGCAAAATAAGCAAAATTAAAACACAGTGAATATATAATCCTTTTACAGCACATTGTATTTTGCAAAAACCATGGTAGGTTACAATTTATGTACTGGCAGTTATCAGTCTTCCACTAACATTTTGAAATGAAACTTTTTTGCATCTCTGGGATCTGGCTATAAATAACAGATTGTGACTTCACGCTTGATAACTATGTATTCATCCAACAGTGTTGATTCACGTCACCTCAATGGAGAAAGTGCCTTTGGACTTCATATGCATCGTTGAGCAACAGTTGAAAGATCTTATTGCCAACTTATTATTACACTGACAAGTACATGTGTCTGTCAGTTGCCAGGCAAAGAATTACCAGTATAAACAAACGAAACTCTTTCTACATGTACTTCCACTACGGAAAGTCAAATATGACCCTCTCAGCAGCCAAAACAACGTGTATGTGCTTGTCGGGTTCAAAAAGCGAACACCTGTATGGCAATGTTTTGGTGGACATCTCTGAAAGTAGTACCATTGTGATGCATCGACCAATCAACGATGAGGATAAGATCACATGACAGAAAAAAAACACCACTCTTCACAATAAAATCATTTTTTTTTTAAAAAAACAGTGTTTAATCAATGATCAAACCCAAATATGACCTTTCTCCTATTTCATGTACCATAATACTTGAAAGCAAATGGTCCATCCACAATATTTTAGGTCGTAAATGATTGGTTTTAACAGAAAATGGTGTCAATCGCTGTCATTTGCATAAGTTCATGTGCTACCTACAGAACAAATATGATAGCCCTAGAACACAAAGAAATGCCAAAAGTGTCTTTTTTGGAGTGTAAGTTTTAAATGTTACAACGATTTTATTCCACACTGTCATACTGTTTTGCACAATGTCCGAAATGTCAACTTTTACTACAGTACTAACGTAATTTAAATGATGTTCGTAATTTGTACAAAGATATAATTTTTTGTAAGCGTATAAAGCATTTTCCAAATTAAATGTCATAATTCGTACGCACAAATTCTTAAACACAAATTATCAAAAATATTATGAAAATGTAATTAGGAATTGGCTTCATCTGTAAAATGTAAAAAACCTATTTTTTACTGTAAATAGAACTTTCATTTTATTTTTAAAAAAATGTAAAATGCGGTTTTTCTTTCCTGTAATCTGTACTAGCTGTCCCCCCTTGCCCCCCTCCCCCCCCTATAAACATACATTTCTCTATTGTAAGTTGTAAGTTTTCAAACCCTGGCAATGGTTGTTGCTATTAAGCCGGTACATACAGTAAATGGAACCACCTATGCAAGCAGAAAGACTGAATTACATACAATACAATTAATTCTTTACAAATTTTGTTTTCAGATAGAGAACAATACACCATTGACAATCAAATTGCATTCACATGATTGTTGTGTGGGTTGACATGGAAACACTTTTTTTGTAAAGTTAACCATCAGACCTTTTATTTGTTTACAAAATGAAGATAATGTAGTTATTGTACAAGCTAATGCTTGCATGCTGTT